GGTTTTCGCACTCAAATAGTGCATCGAAACAGCACAAACAGCTCCATATATAGACAGTCTATGTAAACGACATAGTTCGATGCAGCAGCAACGCTCATATAAGGCATTTTCACCTACATGGAAACGGTTTTCTGTGTTACGTATGCGAAGACCCATTGATCTACTTACCGACAAACCATAGGAAGTGAGTGCTGGATTTTTGTGAATTCGTCTTATCTATCGGCAACACTCTAAACTAGGCTAGAGGTCAGCGATATAATATTAACGAAAGACCAGTATTTGATCCATAATCACTTATGGACCACAGTTCACTTGTACTACACATGGACATTCAAGTTGATTAACGGTCGCGTCAATTATCATCGTAGTAATAATTCAGAAAGAATTTCGTTTTTTTCATGTTCCTGCTTCGCTTCATTCGGAAACTTGTAAATTTACGAGCCCAGTTGAAAAACGACACCCGCCCGCAGGCGCTTGCTAATACATTTAAACGATGAACATCAAAGATAAATAATGCACACCTATAAGTCTTGCTTGCTGGCTGTACAACTTCACCTACCGGGGCTTCAAGTATGATGCTTCCGGGGAAAATAGCAGTTAAATGACAAGGTAAAAAAATCCCGTAGGGCCAAGCTTGGAAAATTTGACTCCCATTTCGCCCAAACGCTAATTACCAATTTGCATGTCTTTGCCTTGGCTTTAGGGTTAGATTCGCGCCACTTCCGAACACTCCCAGGTAGGTAAGTCAGTTCACGAACGACACCAGCCAGATACCAATTTCTACAATATTACTTGAAGGTGGGCGTGGTAATAAATCAAAGAAATTAAGTGTCTTTCAAAATGTCTCTTCCCTTGAACACTTTCTTATTATGCATTAAGAGGTAACGCCTTCTACGTATGTATATATAAAAAAATGCGGCTCCAAGTGATTTATAGGTCTTGACTCTTAGTCATATTAGCTTTAGGTTGTTTTATTGCCGATACTGAGGTCTAGCTAGGTTGGTTGAACCACGAATGAACTTGGAATGTGATTGTTTCAACAGTGAATTATTGCGATTTCTAGTTTGCCCTTTATTAACTTCTTAACTATTCAATCAAAGAACAGATCAACAAAAACAGGGCGCAGCAGCTTCGAGAGCCAAAACTGCATAGACCAACAGAGAATCGACAAAGTAGATTATTTTGCCTCATCAATTAGATTCGAAAAATGTTGCGTTAAGGGTCAAGGGCTCAAGTTAAAGTCTGCTAAAGAAAAATCCAGTTTATAATGTGTTGGAGATTTTGAATCAATCTTTCTAGTCGTAACTGATCCGGGAGTGGCTTGTTTCCTCAAAACTGGATATTTTTAAAGAAAAAATTGACAAGCCACTGATTTAAAAAAATTAATCAATTTTGCATTGTCCATTCAATTCGGCAGACAAATTTCTATGATTCACCCTTTTCGAGTGAAAAAAACTAACGAAAGTGCACGTTTCAAATGGCAACAACATTTTTAGTTTATTTAAAGCATACTTTTTTTACTTTATCCAGTTTTTGCACTTACTGACATTAAAACAAAAAAATACGACTAATAACGATAACAATAATTACAAATTAAATTCATAAAATTGCCTTAGTTTTTATACAGTACAAGAGCAAAAAAAGAAGCCGAAAATCGCGGAAAAACTGCGACTGAGTCTATTTTGAGAACGTCCAATAAAATTGATTCAATTTTTTTTCTATTCGCTATTGAACAATATAAGGGACAATTTCCTAGCTCGACGGCTTCAGAGCAATAAATTTGTTAAAAAACCGTTCTTGAAACCAAAGACGTCATAGAAGTCTCGGAAAATCTGCAATTGAGTACTTATGTTTTAAAAACGCCTAGTAAAAAACTCGAATTCTCTACTGAACAGAATAAAGGACGTTTTTGTAGCGATGAATTTTTGAAAAAACCGCCATAGAAGGCAAAAAATCGCGTTGTGTTTTCTTCTTGTACAACTGTTTTTTCACGATTATTATTTTAATTTGTCATTCACAAAAACTGATTTGTGTAGTCGAACTGGAAGTTGGAACCACCGCGTCATAATTTGGATTTACTTAAATGCAGATCAAAATTGGCCCAAAGCTGGGTTTTCGTCTTTAAAAAATCCACTTTGGTGCAACTGGAGCAGAAAATGTTCCAAACAAACGCTAGCAAACCACGAAATCATGCTTCGAAGAAGGTGAACCAGACGAACATTAAAACAACACTCTAATAGCAAGGAGAACTGGAACTAAGGAACTACACCTGAAAACCTGTTCTAGGTTATTTACAATGGGTTTTTAACACTTCCAAATAAGCAGAAAGCAATTGCCTACAAACAACTGCCAAACTAATTTTACTTATTTAAGTTCATTTTTGCGATATTAATTGAAGTTTTCTAAGGCCGATCGAGGCAAGACTTTTCCAGCTTTAGATTTCCGTCGCATTGATATAAACAACATGGAAAATGAACACTTCGTTCACTTGTTGCATGGTGGGTCTCTTTAGTATTACGCTAATCAGTTTCTGGCCTTGGCACAAACCAACAGTTCACGAGCTTGACTTAATTAAAACGTGCATTAATTTGAGAATAACAATTTCAAATCTATTCAAAGATCTTTTTTATTACTACTGCTTAATCTTCAGTTTGCAACCTTCGTAGCCACAATAATATAATGTTTTTATATAACATTCCTGATAGATTAATGGCAACAATCAGTTAACAAAAAAACACAGAGAGAGAGAGAGCAGTATTGTATACGATCCGGTGTTTATTTGCTCTCGAACAGGTGAACATTGAAAAAATATAGTTAAGAAACTTAACGGTTGAATCAATAACGGCAATTAAGTTTCAAAAACTCCAGATTATAAGCAAGCAACATTCCTGAGGTAAACTGATCGAAAGAACCTTGAAGGCAACCAACTTTTTGACAACGAAAACACTGCTAAACCCTACGAGTAAGAAGAGAGGAAAGAAATGTTGGCAACTAATTTAAAAAAACCCCGGAAAAATGTGTTTAAGAAACGATGTTTGGGCAGAGACAAAAGCTTAGGGTCTAAGGCAGGAACAAGCTGTGCCTCATTTTCTGAGCTATTTATCATCATTGCTACAATTACTCAATTAGAGATGAAACGAGGACTGAGAGAGACTTTAAATCGGGTTGCAGATACCAACCCATCAACATAAATCACTCATCACATGCATAAGAGCGGAAAAAATTGCGACCACCAAAGAAGCTGCATGTTCACCTTCAACGAAAATTGCTTCTGAGCACCACTGCCAAACAGCCACTTAACAAATCAATCAGGCTCGTTAAGGAACTGAGCTCAGATATTTTGACACGTACTCGCTCTAGCATCACATACATAATTCCTCCATCAACCAGGTAAAACGCTCCAAGTCCGTGTCTGTTTGTCTTGTTAAACTTTTGGGATGGTTGAATTATGCTAGATGGCATGATGGAGCGCCGACCCTCGTTAACTTTTTAAATTGGTCAAAGCCGTACAGTAACACGTTTGTTACGGTTGGTCCTTCGAACAGGTGCATATTCATTGGGGAGGAGGGCATTTCGACCTGTGCAACTGGCCAGATTTCAAGCCCAAGAAAGTGAATAAAAATCGTTGGGATTTTGCACACTTAAAATTTTTTAAATGCCTGGTATTTATGGCACGCCAACTCTATGTACACGCGCTTGTTGATAATCAAGTTTAAACATCCTGTGTTGGGGCTCATTAAATTGTATTTTACTGTACTTCGATCAGTGTTTAGGAATAAATGCTTTTACGCTCTAGCGATATTTTCGCAAGACTTCAATTTCTTTTGATTGAAATTGTCCCATTAATGTGAAGAAAGGGTCAGGAACGCTTTGCTCTATAAAGCCACTAATTGTATTGAAATGGGGTTCTAAAGAGCTAAAGGCTGCATATAAGTAGAAACTAGTGAGTCGAGCAATTACTAATTCTGGTGATGAGCGAAACTGGACATTGTATGGAGAAAACAAAAATTATGCTTGAATTGTGCATAAATTGAGGAATTTTCTCAGATTCTGGTGCTTGAAAGAGTAAAAGCGATGGCATTTATGTCTATTCAAAATAAAGTGAGGCAATAAATTCGACTATTAATTTGTCCACTACACACATTTATGGATTCAGTTGAGAAGAAAACTTTATTTTATGTATATGAATACACTTTACCTATTTTTATTTGTTTTAATACACGCGTATGTAACAAAGTATTTTGTTACTAATGAATTGGTTCAATCATTTTGATTCGGTAATTATTTTTCCAAGTATAATCCGGAGCTGGGATTTTTTTGAGTCGGATTATTGGAGTTGCATTTCACCAATAAACCGTTAAATAAAGTTTTATGAGCTCGATGTTTTGAGTTTATAGAGTAAAATTATAAAAACTGTCTAGTTCGATTTATGTTTTAGCTCCTTCAATATTGAAAACTAAAAAAAAGAAAATACATTTTAATATATGTATCACCATTTGTGGAGTATAAGTACAAAAATATACGGATTGTCTCGAACAAGATACATTCATGTTCACTCATACGTTGAAATCAGTAGTGATGGGCTAAACTGGTCTGGATCGCGCAAAAAAAGCAAACAATTCACTTTAAGTACGAAAACATAAAATAAGGCATCATTTCTTTAAAGAAATGGGGCATAAAAACACAGGGACATTTTTCAGATGCACTTAATTGGTGCGTGTAAGATATTTTTCCTTCTGCCCTAGATTGCCTAAATCGGGGAGTAGTTGATACGAATATTTGTTCTAATATTTTTATCTTTTGCCTTCAAATTGCAAGTAAAACAGCAAGTATTAAATGATACTGAAAAGTTCATGGTTTTCGAGAAGCTAATGCTTTTTTTTTAAACTCTACCAAAACTGATATTAGTTTATATTTCGCCCGCGCAAAACATAAAAACATTTACACCTTAAATCAAGTTTGTTGTGCTTTTGTGGAAATATGTAAATCATACTACTTACATGAAACTTTATTGACGGTGGGTGAACACTGTCTTCTGGACCCTAAAAGACAATGAAAATGTAGTCAGTAATTTAGAAATTCAGTCATAAAATGTTTGAAAACTTTTTTTAAACGGATTTTACCATTAACATGACAATACGGAAATCAAACAGCAAACAGCCTGATGTGTTATTGGCGTATGTTGGCTAATTTTGCGGCTCATTTAAAAGCAAAACTCTTTCGACACTAAGTAAAATAACAAGCAGAATTAAACGAAATTCTATGCTTTCCATCAGGGAATACTCCGATTTCTTCCATCACGAAATAAAGCAAAACTAATCTTCTTTGTATATTGACGTGTCTTTTAGACTCACTTGAGTAACATGTATTATGGAGGCAAAAAAAGACATTTATATTGGAAATTGGTAAATTTTTGGGGCTGCCTAGCCATCGCGAAAATGCCCACCAGTTTCAAGTCAACTCTTTTATTGAGCTCTCCAGCTAGCAACCACCACATATATACTCCATCATATATAACTCCATCAAAAATCCAAAGGGAATATTTATTTATTTACCGCAAACGACCACAATAGTTGTATTATTGTAACTGGCAAAATCCGTCAGTTTTTTGATGATGCAAACAGATCACCTTAAAACCATCAAGGAAAATTGATATCACTGGCATGGCAAGAAACCACGTTCTTCGGTCAGTGGGAAACCATCGAGTTCAGAAACAATTAGCAATTTAGTTGATATTCAGCTGGGTTCGCTAGTGCGTGGAACCTGAAAAATTGCCATAATCGCCAACGATGAATGCACAATAACAACGGGAATAAAACGTGTCGTCAAATACGCGACGGACAAAAATCTCATTAGCATTTTGAGTAGATTGTCTGGACGATTGATCGCTTTGTATGCAAGTGCCATTGATCGATAATGGCACGACATCAACGCTGTATGAGTGGGCTTAGATAGATAGACAAACTGAAAGTTCCATCGATGAATTTTCCGTTCGTTCTCCAGCTAGCTGGAATGCATCTACATAAGCACACAACATGCTGTCGCCATACCTTGCTTTGCTATCCAAAGCAAACTTAATTTAGACCGAAATATTTCACGATGGCGATTATACATTATGACACAACAGCGGCTAAACTGGTTGTCTGTGTACTTGAATTTATTACTCTCATTCGGCATAAGTCCATATACTTTATGTGGCCCGTTCAAATACGAAGTAAACAATGGAGGGAAAGGTATGCGTGGGTATGCCAAGAAGGTCTATTTTCAGATTCCTGCTACTGCCAGACGTGGAAATGAGGAAAAATGTACACATTTCTAGCCATTGTCCACTTGCATAATTATTCATGTTGGGTCAATTGACCAGTTGCAAAACTCAAATCGCCAAAAAAAATTAGGAAAATCTACAATGAAATCAACTGATTGAGATTAAAGTTTCACATTCAAAAGCGAATTCCATTGGCACCAAGCGTAAATGTTAACAAGCTTTTTTCGTGTTACTGAGCAGAGTTATGCAGAAATGTGAAAAACGTGCCTGCGAAGGCTATAAAAACACAACATTTGAGCAACAATGCCCCCAAGGTTGACGCTGTTAGACGTGATTAGTTATTGAAGCAGTAAAATATGCAAATTTTTGTTTAAACCCACTATTTTATCGATGGGAATATCACATCCATAAGAAGTAAATATTTGGGAAACTACCCAATTAAAAATGTGATTTGGGTCGTCGATTTTTATAAATGAGGTTGAAAACGACGTCTCAGTGATTGAAAAATTCTCAAAAATTGAACCAAATTTTCTTTTATTTTGCTAATGAATGTAATCGGTGCCAGGTTCATAGCTATTACCAAATAGATGATAAAAATTGGCGCAAATCTGCCGATACATTTGCTTTTCTATGCAAATTATATTGCTTATTATAAAGCTTCACGATCCGAACTCTTCACGTTATTATTATTCCCATTTTATTTGGCTTTATATAAATATTTCCCAATTTGTACAGTTTTGTTTCGCTGGTTTCACATAATTCGTTCATAATTATTAGTTGAAAATTAAATTAGCAAAATTCCTAATATGCGTCCAACAAATGTGAAGGGAAAACTATTCAAGCACCAATTCCAAGATATTCTTAACCTTAAATATACCTACACAAAAAAATGAATATACTTAATAAGGAATTTTCGGCTAATAGGAGAAAACCAGCTGTCGAGAGTCTCTAGAGCTCTCTAATAGTCTAGCTGTAAGTAGCAGATACTCAGTACAATTGCAACTAAGTCTGAGGAAAACTGGAAGGAAGAAAAAAACAATGAAAAATCAACAACATAAATGACATACTTTCACAAGCTAAAACCAATTAAGTAAGTCAGATAAAAGATAAAAGCTTTTAGAACAGGATTTAATTTTTTTATTTGAAAACTTTGGCACTTTGCTATCGAGGCACGATCATTGAATGGCAATAAAGGCGAGAAACTTTTATCATTTTCATATCGTTCGAAAGCAGTGGAAAAGTCCTGATGCGGGTGACCGCTAAACTAAAATAAAACCATGGAATTGAATTTTAAAACGAAAACACCAGTTACGAAAAGGATTTCGATTCGGCAAAGTTGCGAAAGTACGTGATGTCCCTACGAAAAATTTGCGGACCCGGAAACGATTACAAAATTTAAAAACTTCAACTATGAAACGTAATTTCTTTGAAAAGATTGAACATGAAAGTTCCAGTCCAGGCACTAGAAACTTTGCAACTTCCTCCAAAGTGCTCCTGTGTATGGAATAATTATTACTGTCGCGCTTATTTCGAATACATGGAAATTTGACTAAAGTGCCCGACTGTTTTACATCGAGAAACTATCGCAATTTTCGCGGAAAAGTTTCTCCCGATGGAGCCTTTTTTGGCCATTAAAAGCAGCTCAGGTTTGCCGCAAACGCGATAGAAATGAGCGCCGAAATTCATGTCACATTCTGGTCACGTCGTCTTCAGCAAATTCAATTATTCACTGTCACCGGAAGTGGATACACAACGAAAACACGGCTAATGCACTTATCACCTCCGCTCTAGCTAAATTACCCACAACTTCTAATCTATTAATGGGGCCTTGTTGTAGTTTTATGTATATCGGAACGTGTCAGGAAAACTGAATTTTCGGCAGTAAGGAAACGGCCAAATTGAGGATATTGGGTGACTGAACTGCATTGGCTGTCTAAAGAAAACAGCTTCCTCATAAGAAATTTCTTTGATTAATTTCTACAAATGTTACAAAGCAATTTACAAAATTGCAACATGGACGGACTTCCATTTCAATTATTTGCCTGAAAACATCGTTTTTTCTTGCGTTTCACATTATTTCGTATTTTTCTCGATTTTAATTTTCAGGAAATATGCTCAAATATCTCGATGTTCTTCAATTTAAATCGGATTTCTTTACTAGAACTTCTAATGGTTGGATGTTTGAATAAAGAATTTCACCTTTTAAATGAAATACTTCATTTTTCTTTAACAACGGAAGGCTCAATGTTAATGCAAAATTCAACTGTAAAGAAACAGAACACGAACTTAAGTAAGCGCTCAGAAGAAGAGAAAATAATTCTAATTCCGAATGAACGACAGGTTTTTAGTCAAATAGTTTCGAAAATTAAAAAAATAAGCCGAATTTTCTTCACTTTTAAATGATGTCTTAATTAGTATTTATTTTTGATTTTCTGTCACACTGGAGTTGAAATTCGCGTTACTATTTCAGTGATTTAAAGTGTTCGTTGCGGGTCGTCTTTGTCCGTTCTCTTAAAGAGCGCATTTTTTGAATTTCTTGTGCACGAAAATCATGCTAAATTTTGCGGGATTTATTATCAAAACTAGCTATTGGCTATTGAATACAAACAATAAAAAAAATTAAAACAAGAAAATTTCCATTAAAGAAAATAATAGTTAATACCGAAAAAACAGGGGCTTTGAAAAATCATCGCATATCAAAAAATTCTAGAAATTATCGCCAGAAATTTTAATCAATCGACTTGAAGATACTAAATAGAAAGTGCATAAAGAGTTAAAACAGGCATTGAAAATAAAGTCAAAACTCAATTTAAAACTAATGTAATAAAAACGACCAAGCTATCAAAAAATTGAACAAGCGGTAACCGTAAGAAGCAATAAAAAATAACATGGAACAAGAGAGAAAAAATATATCTACGTTTTTCAATCTGATATCGTACACAAATTTCGTATTTCTGACTGGCGTTTAAGAAAATCTATAATAATACTATAATACTAATAAACACAACAAAAAACTCGAACAAAGAAAAAATGTTCTAAAGTTGAAAAAACGATGACTCTTTCACTATTTTCACATTTATATCAATTTCAGTTGGAAATTGCGCTGTTTTCATATTGACTCAATGTGTTCGCTGACGCTCGTTTGTGTCTCATTAAAGAAGGGCCGTCCTTTCGGTAAAAGTTCAGCATTTTCGCTCAATCAACCAGACGACAATTTTGATGGCAAAACCCGAAAACGGATTTACTAGTCTTAAATGAAACTGTAAACAGTAAATATTTTTAAAAGGTTGAAAAATTGCCATAAGAATTTCTGAGAAAACCACACTCTGCAGCTGCAAATAAAAGCGCCCACTCAGGACTTTGAATATTTGCACAATTTTCCATAGGCAACAGGTAAGAACATTAATTCCCTGAATAAAAACAACAGCAGTTCCGAGATGTCGCGTTGCATCTTCCAGGAAGCCAAAGGCCAGTTGTTCGGCTATTCTACACCAAAATTAGATTAAATTTCCTAAAACATCAAATCCACACACAAAAGAATTAGCTGACCTTTGTTCGGAAATAAATGGCGGATATAAAAATAGCATTACAGAATGAGAAAGCGTTCCATTCTTTAGGTGTTGGTTAAGCCATCAAACGATTGCTGGCCGAATCGGTTCAGTTCAAAGCAATTGGAAAAGGCAGCAAAGACGGATTACCCGGGCAGCTGTCTTACGGCAAAGACCTTTGCCCGGATCCAGAATCTATTCTTAAACGCGAAGTAACGCGGCAAAAGGA